TTATGTTCCATTCTTGAGCGTTTGCCACTGTCAGATATGTGTTGAAGACCAGTGATGGAACACCGTATTCTTCATCATTCGAATCTGTATTAAAGGTCAGCAATGAAGCACCGCAGTTAACGTCCAGTGCCATCCTCGACGACACCAACATTCTTTTTAATCATCTTCGTGAAACAGGTTAGCCATTGACTACTTCTATCTCGCCGCTTTAGCGGATCCCAGTTGCTCTCTAATCCACGATGTATGCGTGTCTACTTGCCGTCGAAGCCATTTCACAGGTCTCCCAAGATTGCCGCTCGTGCTGTCGTCTTGAAAAAAACCATTGCCTTAGGATTTTTCAAATTTCTGGTTTCTTGGAAGGGAAAACCGGAAAGCAACATCAATCTAGAACGTGTCCGAGTCGAAAGATGAAATTTGAAAGGGGTTGGCTATAAATCGACAAATGAGATTCTGATAGCTTGAGAATCCCATGGTTGATGAAGTTGCGAGGGGAGAAATCTTGAAGACATTGACATTCACCTTTGAAGACAAGTCTATCTTGTTGTCGAAGCTCTGCTGCAAGATTCATATGGGTTGTTTCCCAAGATATGGTTGAAGTCTCTGCTTTGAACAACACTCTCTGCAAGCGAGGCAGAGGGAGCAGGGAAGCCATTAATGCCCCAGATTGAAGCAATGCGATGCTATTTTTTTTCCTTGGTGCAATTGCAGACATAACGGTGAGAAGCATCTAAAGCTGGAGAACTGGGTTGCTTCAGCCTCGGGAAGGTCTAAAGGAGCCACCAGTTTGCGACCAGCTATTGTTTGCCCCAGTTCATGGATGCCTAAACTTTGAAGAGAGATTGTCAAGAGGGTTGGTCTCGTGGGCATTAGGAAACTTGATGGAGATAAATTTCTTGGTTCTTTTGATTATCGATGAGGCTGTGATATCTCTTTAAGGATCGCTGGTTTAGGGTGCTGTTGCTTCCACCATTCATGTTAAGTGGAGAAGATGGATTCAGCTATGCTAGCTTTGAGACAGCAGCGTATAATCTGAAAGTCTTAAATCTACCAATTGAGTTTTCATTAACTGTGACGAGTACAATCATGGGCATCGTCCATTAGTCTGAACATAATTCTCGCTATGGTTCTCTGGTCCCGCCACGCAAGCAAACCAATGATGACATGTGGCACAAGAAGTTGAAATTGAAGTTGTTAGTGGGCGGATCAGGTGGCATTAATTCTTAGGAGCAAGCGTGACTGAAGCGTGTTTGAAGGTATCATGTTATTTGTCACATCGAATTTGTATACCCTTGATGCTTTTGTGTTTGGCAAGTTAGTCACTTTAGTCAAGAGGCGCTCAACTTGAGGTGCCTGTTAGAAAGGGTAACCGTGTGATTAGTTAATTGAGTTGAACTCTATATAAATAGGTCTAATGTGATGTTGGTTTAGAACGTATGATGTCTTATCCTCACTAATGAGAGGAAGAATAATTTGGGTTTTCCTTCTTAATCTCAATTGTTTTGAATCGTGGGTTAATCTCTCAAATAAGGAATTTGGTTAACCCTAAGAAGATTTTTGTACTTTGTTCTTCATTAACAACACTTCATATTTTTCACTCTCATTGCTTCACACATTATGTTTTTAAATTTATTATTTAATCAATGTAGGATATGGGTCTCAAGAAGATTTAATAAATTTGTCAACAACTATACTCGCAATGACAAAAATGATCATCCACGCAAGTTTCCTTTGGCGGAAGCGCCGTGCTTGTTCATGCACATCGGATTACACTCTTCATTGAGGCAGCTCGCTAGAAAATGTTCCTCCACGCATATCCTATGAATCTGACCACTTGTCTCTCTCATAGCTGACAAAAATAAAATGCATAATAACATACACAAAATTTATAATGAAGACTAAATCATAATGTAATTAATAAGAAATCGATGGCAAAATAAATAAGTGATCTCAAAAAATATATATAATAACTAAAATGTCATTTACTCATAATAAGCCGAATACTACACATTTATTATCATTTTCTGTATTAAAATTTCTCATTGTATATTGCTCATTTATTGTGAGACTTTTTCGTTAATATATATTTTTCAGACCTCATAATGGTTTTTCCGAAATTAATTGTATTGGTCATCTATATATTGAATTGAACCTGAAAAGGTGACGACGACGAGCGACAAAACAAGTACCGGTGAAGAAATATTCTCGGCCATCCTCGATCTTGTTAAGAAGCAACCCGAACTATCCAAATTAATTACCTTTTTTTTTCTTCTTAATGTTCAGTAGTTGCTAGGGGAAGTTCATAATAGAGTGTTTATATAGGGGTTTGAAGTGGCCAGGATCTAAATTTTGACCAAATAAAAAAAAAAGCACTGAATCGGCAGAAATTTAATGGCAATCAAAAATGATTATATCATTTCATAATTAATAAATAGCGGGGATTTTCTGCCGAAAAAAGGAAAGAAAATAAACGAGAAAAATACTATGAAGGAAAACATCTAAAAATAGTTTAAAAAAAATCAGTTTTTGAGAGTTTTTCCTTATAATTTTTTTCCTTTTTAATTATCTTCTCATCTAAATTAAGAGTTAATTAGTTTAATGTCCATTTCTGCGGGAGTATGTGTACTCCCTCTGGTCTTATTTATATGACATTTTATATCCAAATAATTAAATTACGAAAGATGGCCAAAATTAGTTAATGATCTTATTTTTTATATAAAAATTATAACATTCCAATTTATCCCTGTTAACCTTTTCTTTTAAAACTTAAAGTCCAACATGCCACCAAATAAACAAATTACAATTATGACATTCTTGGAAATATTTATACGTGCTTTAATTTACTAAATTTTATAATGGGTCTTATATTAAGACCAAACAAAATTTCTACATAATGCCTTACACATTAAGTATTTGTTATAAATTTAGTCTAATTGATTATCGGTCAAATTTTTTACCTAAAGCAATGAGGCATAAGAACAAGAACAAGAATAGATAGATAATTTTAATAAGAGGAATTATTTTAAAATTCCAAAAAAAGGAATCTAAATTTAAAACAAAACAATTCGCCACCAACTCGGGGACACTGATTTTTTTGTTCCCTGCCTACTGCATCACCTATTGTATACATATACAATGTTTTGAATAAATCTTTGGCGTCAAATCAATTTAAATAGTTTGATTCAATTTATTTATTTATTTTACTGAAAATTTTGGAGAAAACAATGATTTCATATATAAAGATCGACCATGAAAATCACTGCCAAGTGATGCAATGCCCTGTCTGGCTTGTTATCCACTTGCCTAAATAGACTTTCCTTAAGGATTTTATTTCTACACATACTGATACAGCTTGGTTTTCAATGGTGTCGACCCAAGTCACACTGACCTACTCTCACAAAATTGACGTTAACGTTATGATTCATTAATAATAATGTACAACAAAAAACAATGACGCTAAGCAAGCAAATAAATTTCAGGGCATGGTACCCTGCAACTTATAAGAAGTCAAATTTTTATGATTAAGGGGAAGCGATGGAAGTTGGATTAAGGGGTTTGAGAAGAAATTGGGAAACTGTTTAGCAATAAAAGCTTAATTATGTGCTGTTTTGCAAGGTTTGAAAATGGCTAGAGACTCTCAAATATACAGCACTTGATTGTTGAATGTGATTCCACTGTTACTGTTGATATGTTACAACAAAACTATAGGAAGAGGAAGAAGTTGATTATAGTATTTTAAAGCTTGTAAAAACTGAGTTGTTTTGCTTTGAACATGTTGGGATACGTCAAGTATATAGAGAGGAAAACACTTGTGCAGATTATTTAGCTAATCTGAGTTTTGAACAGGGTGAGGTGGAACCTGTTTTATTGTCCCGCCTCCGAGGTGAGGGAATGTCTGTACAATGACTTTTCCATGTTCACCTTTGATATAATTATGGGCTCTTGCCCCAAATTATAACAAAAATATATATAAATAATACACTCAATCTATCTTTTAGTTCATTTCAGAGGAGACTAAACTAGTTTTAATTCAACCACGTGCAATAGTAAGTCACCTTTAGTACTAGTGTCAGTCAATTTTATATCTAGAATATAAGCTAACTATCAAGTATGAAGAGTTGTTTGACTTAAATGGAATGGGCTTGGCACCATAAATTAATGCTTAATATTAACTTTGGTCTTAAATATAACAGTTGGATAATGAGTTATTTTGATCCTAAATATAAAAATTTAATTTACTTTGTCTTTCAAATTTTTTAAACATATCCCTATTGATTGCATATAAACTAAATGAGTATGCTATGCTCAGATCAATCGTGTGATAGGCATATTATCATTCCTACTGACTGTTGATAGCGTCCCTTATTGCTTGAAACTTCATCTGACTTACATGCCCTGCCTTTCACTATATATGTACAGGATAGCCCATGTTGAATTCAAAATTTGAATCAATTATCATATAATCATTAATTATCTCAACTTATTCAAGACAATCATGAATCATCCCAATAATTAAGTAATATCTGCTCAGTATATGACAAACAATAATCATCCCAACATTTTTATTAAATTACTCAATTTGGTCAACTCGAGGTATATATACTTGAATCAGATCAGTTGATCATTATTTGCACCCTTGTCTTCCCTGCCTACTCAAAACTCGTGACTTCATTAATGAAACTAATTATAGATACCTTATGATTGAGCCACAAGTCGGACCGACATCATCAGGAGCAGCCAACAAAAGAAATTATATAAGTGAGGTCCAACTGTCCAAGGAATAATTATCACAAAACTCAAGTATAGTACTAGACAATGAATTAGTATGCTGCTCATTGCACACACGTTACTGCAAATAAAAGAAAAATAGAATTATCAAATCCCGCACCCGCACACGCACGCACACGAGGTTCTTAAATGAAAGTGATGATGGATTTTGTCGTTTGAATAGTAAGACATACACTTAATTTTGCTGGCTCGAATCTGCTTTAATTTTCCTTTTTCTAGGGCCTTTCGTAACGGAGGGCATTTGTGGTTTTGCGGTTGGGGGGTGGAAACTCGGTAAACATAGACATTAACGTACGACCAATGAATATGGGTAGTGAAAGAATGGCAAGGATGGCAATTGGCAAGCCAAGACTTGCATAGGCAGTTAAAGATTTGCAAAGTTGCATGAGAGAGATCCACAAAGCAACAATGGAGCCAACCATGGTCAAAATAGCAAGGTGAAGAATAAAAGGAACATATCTCCAGAAGTTAAAAGATTTAGAACGAAAAGCAAGTATGGCCAAGAAGGAGATGGTGGAAGTGAGGGACAAGGAAAGGGCCACAAGTGATGAGCAGCTCTTTCCATCGAACTTCTCTGACACAATATAGGAAAAGGCCATGGATGCAATTACGGTCGATGCCACAGAACATGTTTGCGAGGTCTGATTCAACCACATTCTATCCCTTGCCATTGGTAACTCGTAATTGTCTCTGAAGACTTCTTCTGCTGTTTTCCCATCATTGTTGGTTTTCTCCCACAATTCTGAAGGCACTGAATTTTTCACAAACTGCATCACCATCCATATATATACCATGTTTATTTATCCAACAAGTTCAATAAACCTTTGACTTCAAGTCAACTAAACAGAAAATATATATATATTTCCTATAGTGATTATTAGTATTTTAATTTTCGATCAGACCTCATGACCAAGACAGAGAAATTTGGGAGAAAGACACAAAAATACTCTCAATTCCATGAACCCCAATTAAGGACTTTGAAATAGTCTATAGAAATTAGTCTGAGATTAAATTGTAAAACAAATTTACCTAAGTTCCCTTAATTTGAAATTCTTTTTGAAATTTCAAGTTTGGAAAATGAAAAAAAAAAACACAAAATGACAACAATAATTCAGTTAGCAATATGAGTTATTTCCCAGAAAACTTGTATACTCCCTGAGGATTTTATAGGAATTAAATCATTTCGAGGACATTAAGATATTCTCAAATTACAGTCCTCGATGTATGTCTTACTCCCAAAAGAATTTAATAAAAATGGATACCTACCTCAAACCACTTGAGTTCCTCCACCATGGTAGTTGTCTGCCAATCTAGGTTGATCCCAGGATTGGCTGCCAAGTGTAATGCAGTGTTTCCATCTTTATCAACTTGACTAAATACCCTTTTGTCGAGGAATTTATTTTCGCACAAAATCTGATACAGCTTGGTCTGCCTCTTTTCTGCTGCCAATAGAATTGTGTTTTTTCCCTCTTCATTTACAATGTTCACCGTGGATGGAAAAAAATCTAGTAACTTCATCACTATTTCTTTCACACCGTTCTGAGCAGCAATCATTAAGGGCGTCTCAACTATCATAAACACTGCCTCTGTCCAATCATTCATAGTCCAAATCACAAAATTAAATTATTGTTGTTGCAGCAATTTGAACTCAGAAAAATCATGCTAACTGAAACTCGCTCTCATGTAAGGTCTACAATTAACTCATGAATTAATATTTCTAATTATTTAACGAACCTTGATCGATCACTATTCTTTGATGGTATAAAGGTAATTCTCATGTCAATCATAATTGTATAAAATCATACAATTTTATAACTATAATTTAATATTTGTATTAAGGATGGGCATTTTGGCCAAAATAACAAGTCAATACTACGATTTAACAGTCAATACTAAGTTGAATAAATGAAGGTTGAACCTTAAAACTAAAAAAGAGAATTGTACAATATATATTTTGATTTTAAAGAAGATCTATATAGATTTTTAAAATAAAAAGGATGTCTTTGTATCTTACATGAAATAGGGGGGAGGTTACTATATTTTACTTTAATAATAATGCTTCAAGCTGGATGTTTCATGAATCTTTTTACCGTTATCCCCTTCTGATTGTTGGGAAATTGAATGCTGCTTCACTCTCAATACATGTAATAGAGTTTCATCAGAAGTTTCTTGAAGAAGCCAGTCCATTAGTTCAAGAGAACATGTGTATTTCTGCATTTTTCTTATCTCAATGAACCATTTTCCTATGAAATAAAACCCCAAGTCAGTGGCCGCAAAATATTTATAGAAAATAATATTTAAAAATATTTTATAATTAAAATAAAGTATGTTCAATTAAACTTTTGTATTTAGCCATTGAGTTTAACCCATCAATACTATTTGGTCTTTTCCTTAAACTTAAATTTCAATAGAGTATCATATGATTATAATCACATTTTATTCATTGGTTTCATTACATAAATACTCATTAAGAATATACTCTTCCAATCCTAAATGCAAGATCCATTTTATAATGTAATTTATACTACAAAATGGATCTTACATTTGAACCGGAAGAATAGTTATCAACTCATGTAATACACCTGATATATTTAAAATAAAAATATGTCATGACGTGAATCACTTATAACAAGTGAATAATATTTCAATTAAACGTGCTAAGAATAATATTTCAAAGAAAATAATTTATCTAACAATTAACAAGAGAAATGTAAAGCAAGACAAGAGACGTGATTAATTTATATACACGGGGAAAAGGACACAAAAATACCCTAAAAATGCTCAAAGACAAATTAAGGGGTTAGATTTTAAAATATCAAATCAAATCCCTTATACTATTCTAGAAATTTTTATACGTTGCGAAATGATAACATTGGCCATTTACTCTCAGTGACTACTTTTATTTAGCTACTAACTATTTTAGTTTCGCTATTAACCACTTTTATATTTTCAAAGTTCTGATGACCACACTTGTCCTACACAAGAGTAGTAAATAACTAAATAAGAGCAATTACTAGATCTTGAACATCACTTGATATATTTTTTAAATTTTTGAAACAAAAGCAATCACTAGCGATACTAGAGTAGTCAATAACTAAATAAGAATACTTATCAAAATTCTAGAAACAAATATAGTCAATAGTTAAATAAGAACAGTTATTACTTAAACAGAGAATAGTCATTAAAGCTTCAGCAATTAGTCGTTGAAGCTCCAATAGCCATTTGCCAGAAGTTACCGCGATAAAAAACCAGCCAAGAGTGCAAAGGTGTCTTTCTTTTTTTTTTTCCCCAAAAAAAAAGTGAATAGCAAGATTTGAAATTTTCAAAATAGTACAAAGTTTTTGTCTTGAGATTTTAAAATTTTTCTACCCTAATTTGTCATTTAGCAATTTTTAGGATATTTTATTGTTTTTCTCCCTTGTCATAATGTACCTCCTTCAGAAAATAATAGGTAGAATTATCCCTAAGGATTAAATTCATAAACTTTTATTTCTAAAAACCACTAATAGTTTGGCCTGACTTTCTTCTGGAAATCGTAATACATTTCCTTTGATCATAAATATAAGAATCATTTTATAGTGTAAATTATACTATAAAATGGGTTTTAAATTTAAGACTGAAAGAGTGTGTACATATATATCATATCCATGTACTTGTATACATGATTATTATCTAATATTGGTAGACGTGTGCTTTTATATGCATAGTCACATGGCTTACCTCCAAAATGTACAAAAAAGTGCTCCAGGATTGATAGGGGGACTACCAGGAAGTAAGCCAATTTACACAACCAACGCACAATTGGATTCAAGATATACGCACTCCAAGTACGTCCTTCAAAAGCACCGTCTGCAAATATGAGTCACAAATTAAAATTTATTTGTTGCGAAACATGACGAATAAACCACATAACACTCAATTCTCAAACACAAATTATTCACATTCGCCCTCTAAATTTTATTTGTTGAATTTAAAGAGCTCGAAATGCGACTCAAATAATGGGATTCTTTAGCTAGAGTTCTTGAGTTTAAAAGCGTACGAGTTTTTTAGCATTTCATAAAAAATAATTCTTTTAGTAATGAATTTAAAATTCAAAGAGGGTATATAATTAGGTGCGTGCATGGGAAAGCCAAGGAGAAAGTAGTTTCATGGTCCAATGTTATCATGCGTACATGGGTCATCCTGAGACTTGGCTTGCAGTTATCAGTGGTTTGGATTATTAATCGAACACAAAAGCTTCACAGGTAACCATCATTCTCTTCACCATATATTGCAGTTATGAAGAACCGTGCTTGTAAATCATACTTACAGTTTATTTTGTCTTTCAATTTACGCCTGATGGCCCGACGCATAGTTCGGGTTCTTCCCATTCTGTCAGTCTCATGCCCTGCCCCTCTCTCTGAACTCTAAAAAACCCTTCCAAATTCCAAACAAACATGCCACCCGCATATTATTATTCATTATTATTCATTTTATAATATAGAACATAATGAATAAATAGCATGATGACAAAATTAGAAGGAAAAGAAAGACTCAATATACATATCTGCACTCTTGACAAAATTAACCATAAGATTGAATTGCTACTTATCACTACAATCATTCATTTGCTGGACAAGCAATTTAAACAACTAGGCCAAACATCCTTTTGCTCGGCGAGTTCACATTCTGCTCATCGAATGCTCATCCCTTCAAACGCAACTTTTGAGGAGAGGAGGACCATTTTTCTGAAAAAGAATGCTACTCATCATTATTTTTTATTTTCCCTATTTATTTAGTTTTATGAAAATATATAAGGTTAAGTAGCATTCAACACCTTAAAGTATGTTTTTGGGAACACTTAGTATTATAGAGTAATTTTTTGTGCATCCTAAATCATAAAGTATTTTTTCAATAATATACAGTACTGTAAATAATTTTTGATGTATCTAGTAATTAAAAAAATATTTTTAATTTTTAGTAGCACTTATTATCTTAAGATAATCTTTTATGCATTCAGCACCCTAAAATGCCTTGCCCCAAAAATTACTTTGAGATATTAGGTGCTATTAGAAAAAAAAATGTTTTGGGTGATGTATGCACCCAAAATTACTCTACAATACTAAGAATTCCTGAAAAAATATTTAAGGTGTTGGATGCTAATTTGCCCTATCATATTTTCATAAAAATAAATAAATAAGAACAGCAAAAAATAATAATGAGTGGCATCCTTATTTAAAAAGAAAAATTGTTCCTCAATCCCTCAAACGCTGCTTTTAAAGGGATGTACATTCCCTGTGCATTGATTCCATGAGAGGGGAATGTGAAGTGATTTTATTATATTACACCAGCATTTTTTGCTACCACCAACATTACTCTAGAAAATATATTGAATGGGATGTAGATCCTATTAAATGGTACGTTTAAAGGTTGCTGTAGGAAGCTTGAAATGCAGGATATGAAGGTTAATGGATCTCGTAGAGATTTCTTCCTGACAATGCCGTTTGGAGATAAAGGACATACAGAAAGACATTGTACTTACAGTGATAAAGAAGTTTAACAACGAAGGATCGACTAGGAAGATCAGTACTTTCAAAAGCTGAAGGGGTTGCTGCTAGGAGATGGAGTGGAGACAACCCATTGTTATTTTGTGTCATCATCTCTTTAAGACGATGTCCGCAACGTTGAAGTATTTCGATTGCCACATCTGCGAAATCAAAGCAAACCATATACACTTAATAAATAATGCATTAAAACATGGCAATATTATATGAAAGAATGAATAATTAATTGTTTCTTTTTACCAATATGTCCTCCTGCAATTGCACAGTGAAGAACGGTGTCATTGTTGCCCCGTGTGATCTGAGCAGAGGGCATCGCAGGTCCTAGACGTATTATCCCCCAAATATAAGAATAAAGCCAAATAAAAGTTTTTCTGTTGCCATGGAGAGCCGCTATAAATAGAGGTGTCTCGCCCGCAAGGTTACGTTCATCAATCAGAGAGGGCCGTGCATCAGTGATCATCCTACAAATGTTAACATTTCCTATTGAAGCTGCTGAATGCAGAGGAGTGTCACCTTTGTTATTCCCAACCCAAACACTCTCACTTGATGGCGTGTCCGGAAAATCATTATGATCAACAAAGGATACAAAGGATTCCACCACATGCTCTTTCCCACTAGACACTGCCATGTGTAATATGGTGTCTCCTGCCGCCGTTATCCTGGCCCTGCGAACCTCCTCGTATTGTCGGTACATGTACAGAACTCTATCCCACTCGCCATTCGTGACTGCAGTTCGTATGTACTCCACCTGTCTATTGGTGGCGTTCGAAGTCATTTTCTCCTACACAATTGGCCTCAATGGACATTAAATAATTTTCATGACCTAAGCATGGATCATGTCTTATTTGGATAAAGAACCAATCCTAAAAGATTTTTGGCCTAAATCAACCTCACTTGTGCCCCGTTAGCCCTGAATTACAACATTAGTCATCTTCATACGCGCACTCTCTTCTCTAAACCGTATGCACAGATTATTGAGGTTAACTATTCAAGTCAAATCAATTTTCTTAATTATATAAATGAATGTTTATCAAAACAATAACTTGCTCACGTCAATTAGGAACTAGAAAGCTCTTCATTAGTACAAGTCTACTTTCATGAATTGTGCTCAATCTCGTAACCAAAACTCCAACAGAAAGAAACCAATCGAATTCAGGTATATTTTAAATGTCAAAGTACACGTCAAATTTTTTGATAAATTTTTCAAACAATACATATAAATCCTTCAAATTAAATTGAAATGGTGTAAATGAAAAGGGGAGGATTTACCAACAAAAAATAATAATAAATAAATGACACAAAGATCCAGATCAGAGCCTTGCCAAAGAAACAGCAGCATAAGAATGTGACTTCACCAACAAAATCTTGAAGAACCCATTTGGTTCAATATAAATATGAAATATTACTAATTTGCAGCTTGCTAATCAATTTGGTTATTGATTAATCCTAGTATGTACATAATATTATTCGAATATCCACAGAATTCAAGATTGTTGTAGAAAATATGCTCAAGATAATGGACACACGAAGATGGACCTAAACATAATGGATCGTGTCTTGAATATTACAGTCTAGTCATCTTCTGACCCAAACTGCTGTGCGGGTATACAAATTATTGATTTTCATGTTTCTAACATCCACAAATCGTAAACTACATCTGGACACAACTCTATTTTCCGTCTTGTAAATAATATCTAGAAAGCTCTTAATTCTTTCCCTTTGCCCACGCCTACAATTTCATAAAAGCAGTCAATCTCGTGATTTAGCAATGATAAGAATGTAAAATGCAGGTATATTCTTAATCTTGCCGTATTTGTCAATTTAATATATTTTTCAAACCCACATCTTTCAGATGAATACTCAATTTAAACCCTTCCCAAATTAAATTTAAATGACACAAGTGAGAACTGTCGGCCATGGTTGTGGAAGATCAGACCAAACAAAAACCCCAAAAAAGAAAATATTACCATAACACTCGGAAGGGAAAAACTTGAAGAAGAAGAAGATGAAAAAGTTAATGATATCGAAGAACAAGAGCCTTACTATTGCCAGAGAAATAGCAGAACGAGATCGTAACTTCGCCCAAGCTAAATCTCCAAAAAGCAGAGATGATGAGTGTGGAGAAGAGAGTAAACAATGAAGCATTATATGGAAAACGAGGAGACCATTAAATATTTTAATAAAAAAATTTTAAAATATCCTATTAAAGAATAAAATCAATATATATATAAATACTCTTCCACCAAAGTTAGCAGCTTATATGGCTTATTGATGGCTCTCCTCACAAAATACTGTTCACAAGCCTTTTGATTGTTATCTCGGGCTGCGTTTAAGTTGGCTTTTTATTGTTCATGTATCTGACTCGGGAAAGTACATATCATGTAAGCAGATCAGAAGTTTAAAATTCAAATACTATTCAAGTCCCGCCTTATACGATACGATGTTCCTTTCTTGAGTTCAAATTTGAATCTGAATCTCATCTTATCTGGGTTTCAATATTCTACTCAAACCCTCTCCGTTATCTCTTCTCTCGGCTTTCCCTCCAAAAACTTCTTCTTCCACTGCCTATTTGTCATTGATTCCTTTATCTTCTTTCTTCACAGGGTCCTTCATCTTCAGCCAGGTGAGATGAAAAGAATATACTATGCTACATGCCTCATGGAGTATTTTCAACTTTGAATCAATGATCTGCAGCCTCATATCTCTCATTCTAAGTTTCAATGTTCATATTTCCTCCCCTACATCACGCCTCAACCAGCCTTCCGTCATCAATTTCTCTTCTTCTCCACTCTCTCTTCATCAGTTTTTGCTTCTTCTTCATGGTCTCCTTTACCTTCTTCTACTTCTAATCAACGATTTCATGGTTTCTTACAGGTCACAGCAATGGGAAAGGAGAGAAGAGAGGGAGAACTGCCGTCGAAAGAGTGGAGACGGATAGCCATTGGTTCCTTTTCCATTCTCTTTATGAGAAGCCAATAGCTGTGGGGAGTTTGAGACGAATTTGTTTATGTTTGTCAAGGTTATCATTTTTTACCTTCCAACCCTCTTTCTCAGGATCTGATCCTTTTCATTTTTCTCAAAATTTTAATTAGACAGACTGTGGGCAAATGTCATTGTGTTTATGAATAGTCATCACACGGGGATTTTCTCTTTTTAACAGGAGGCTATTAAAGCTCTTCAATCGGTAAGCCCGCTTAGATTTATGGTTGTAATATTTTTCATTTGTTTCTCTCTCTTCTAGCCGAGTAAAATGTTGGCGGTGATTCGGTGAATAAGACTCAAGAGTAAAGTCTGAATGTGTTGGTTTGTGTAAGGGAAGAACAATGGGGGAAGAGTCCATTGCTCAACTAAGATACTTTTCTCAAGGATGAGGGTATTCATAATGTTTGATTCTTCACATTTCTATGACTTCGATTTTGTTGAAGATACATATCTATATTTGGTATTAGAAATTATTCCCATTGGTTCTAAACCTACTTCATTCTTGATGGTTCCATATATTAATTTCGTTGGGTTGGTTTGTCCGTATGATTTTAGCATGGTAAGGGTGTTCTGGAAAACTAAGTATGACTTATAGGGGATATATTAGTATCATTTAACAGTAATTTGTCTATTTCCATGGGGTTTTAATAGAAACTTTTGATCTCTTTTATGGAGTTGAAGTTGTGGATGTAAATACTTTCTTCCAAAATGTATTTTAATATGTACAATTTCTTTCCTTTTCATTTTATGTAGTTTGAGTTTGTTTTTCTACTCCTACACTTTAGGTAAGAAACTCAATGCTTTGACCACATTTTCATAATATAAGATGTCATTGTTGAACTTGCTATTACTTTCCATCAATAATACACTGATATCATGCAATAATACTTGGTATGTATGAAAAAGTGTTTATTTCCTTTTATTTCAAGATTTTGGGGAAACAATTTTTTAAAATGATTGCAAAGTCTTTAACCAATTTACGGGTTTTTGGGTTCTAATGTAAACTTGTATGCAGTTCAATTGTGGATGTGACAATTGATAAAGGGCAGTTACCTTTTGACAAATCTTCTCAGGAAATTATTTAAGTGTAAGTCTGCTCTCTTCTCTTCTTTTAGGGCTTGTGTCATGGTTTGTGATTGGAATTTATGTTATTGGTGGTCAGGAAGGTGATTTTATGGCCAAACTTGGCCCACCTATCTTCAAGTGTTCACGCATACTAGAGGTAAGCCGTGGGCAAAACCCTCTGTTTTTTCCTCCCCATTTGATCTTATGGTGATAATTGGTAAACCCGGTGCATGCATTTCCATCTATTCCCAAAGTTTGGCTCACTGATTCATTTTATACTGCTGTCTTAGGCGGTGAATACTGATTTTTACATCTGGATGATGAGACAAAGTGGAAAGTGATGCCTCCCATGCTAAAACAGAACTCACACATTGAATTTGGATAGATTAACAAAACTAAATAAATAAGTTAATTATAAGAAATATAATATTACATCGCTAAAATACCCCTTTGTAACATGTGATTATACATTTGTTTATATGTTAGGTAAATTAGCTTAAAAATGATAAAAATAAAAAAACAAAGTAAATTAAAATTTTGTATTTAAAATAAAATCTAATTTCCAAATTAGCTCAATAGAGGAGAACTTTCTTGCGTATATCTTGAGATTGGCTGCAAATTTTTCATATTTGTTTTCTTTGTAGAATTCCAACTCTGTAAGTGAATGACACTTTGTGATATGTACCATAGATGAATTGACGTGGCGTGAATAAAGGTTTGCATAGTCATATTATAAAGAATTTTCAAAATGGGTCGCATATTAAAATGTCAGCTAGCAATGACATCTTTTCAACGTAGTGCCATATATGGACCATCCGAAAAACAATGATGTGCACGCTTTTCGGGAATCATTATGCATTTTAAAAATAAAGGAAACTAGTATTAGGTTATGTCTAACTCAAATACTTAGAGCAATAAGGTTTGCATAGTTAATCTAGAGTATTTATAGCTAAAAGTGTCTTTCGATCCACTTATAACTCTCTCCTAAGTAATAAGGTTATGTCTAACTCAAATACTTAAGAGGATAAAATAATTTCACTCTTCATCAATTATATGGGGCTCCTAGGTATATTTCTATCCTACTCGCAAATCAGAT